AAGAATAGTGCGATGGCCAAGAAGAACAAGAATCCTGGACGGGGACTGTATTATGGTGGTGCTTTTGAGCAGGCTGGTGAATGCGAGGGCTCTGGTAGCTCTGGACGAATTGATGCCGAAATTACTGCCTCTGAGGATTCAAGTGCTCCAACAAGGAAATGTATTAGTTTGAATTCTAGTAAATGCGACAGTTTTGGCGTGCCCATAGAAGTTCTCCCCCTGTCAAACATGTTGTCCTCCGAAAGGAAAGATTTGCTACATAGGTTGAGAATGGAACTTGAACATATCCGAATACTTCAGAAGAAAGTTGAAATGCACAGAACCAATGGTGTTACTGTGTCCTCTTCTAGTGACATCCTCAGCTGCAACAATGGCCGGAATGGGCCACATATTGAAAATCTCCGTAAGTCATCGGCATTAACTGGGCAGGGGAAAAAACTGAATCCTGTGGCTTCGAAAGCACAGGCATGGAATCCAGGCACTTCTGGGCGGGTTGAATCAGTGAATCAGGCTTCAGCACCTAGCACTGCTAGTGTGATTCTTATGAAACAATGCGAGACACTATTGAAACGGTTAATGTCCCATCAATTTTCTTGGGTTTTCAATACCCCTGTTGATGTGGTGAAGTTGAAGATTCCGGATTATTTCGCTGTCATCAAGCATCCAATGGATTTGGGTACAGTAAAGACCAAGATAGCTTCAGGATCTTATTCAAGCCCATTGGAGTTTGCTGCTGATGTCAGGACTACCTTCACGAATGCTATGACCTACAATCCACCAACAAATGATGTCTATGTCATGGCTGATACTCTTAGTAAATTTTTTGAAGTCAGGTGGAAAACCATTGAGAAAAAACTGCCAAAGGCTGATTGCCAACCACCACCAGCTAAATCTGGTCCTCGTGAAGCGGTAGAAACACCTAAGCCATTGCCCCCTGCGAAAAAGAGGATGATCACGTCGCTGCACCATGAAGTCAAGTCTGAGCCTGCTAAGCAGGTAATGACAAAGGAGGAGAAACATAATCTGAGCAGAGATTTGGAGTCTTTGCATGGAGAAATACCTTTACTCATCATTGATTTCTTGAGGGAACATTGTTCAAATGGAAATGACTCTGAGGAGGATGAGATTGAGATTGATGTTGATGATCTAAGTGATGATACCTTGTTCACATTGCGGAAGCTTTTAAATGAGCATTTGCAAGAGAAACAAAAGAACCATGTGAGGGCTGAACCTTGTTCAATAGAGGTATGAACTCGACCTCACCTTCTTCCTGTTCCTGGAATCAAATTAGATTATACATGCCTGAAGCATACATTGTTCTCATTATTATTGCAGCTTTTGAACGAATCAGGTTTGAGCAATTCATCCATGCAGCCATGCAAAGGTCATATTCTTCTTCATCTCCTTGCATATATAAATTCTGACTTCAGTTTTAGGACGTATGAAACACTTTGTTTTTGCCTCTCACGTATATGCATTTCTAGGGAATGACCCAGCCGATGAGGATGTTGATATTGGTGGAAATGAGCCTCCTGTCTCA